TTTTATTTTCCCAAGACGTTATAGAAAATCACGCATTACGTGATCAGTGAAGAAAGGCTGTATCCCACGTGTTTTATAGGTTAAGAAGACAAGGACGGTCCTAGACATATATTTTTGGGGGGGGGGTCACCGGGGGCCTGGGGGTATGGAATACCCCCCAAAAAGGAGGGGGTCCTGGGGTTTCCCCCGGGAAAAATATATAAATAAATAAATATAGGTTAAAGGGTGATCAACTCAAGGAGGCCACCATTGGGATATCGGAAACGTTAAGAATTATAGAAAACTTAAAATGGGGGACATTCCTTTATTTTTGTGGTAGTTAAAAATATGATTTTAACACCATATATTTTATAATGTTTTCGGATAGAATAGGCAATTTAAACACTTTTTTATCCTTGACATTTTTTCGATAAACCCACTCGTTTAGGAGATACAGCATATGGAAAAATGACTTCCGGTGTACATTTTACATCATGTAGCTCCTAAACAAGTAAGTTTATAGCAAAAATGCGAAGAGTAAAAAAGTCTTACAATTGCATCCACATTCCAAAAAGACCATAAAATTCATTAAAAATATGAATTATATTATTTAACAAATGGCGGCAAACTTGAAAAGTGGAAAACTTGTTGTTTTTTAGTCTTTAAGGAATGTAGATGCAATTCTAAGACTAATTTACTTTTTGCAATTTTGCTCTAAACTTACTCGTTTAGGAGCTACATGATGTAAAATGTACAACGGAAGTAATTTTTCCATAGGCTGTACTCCTAAACGAGTGGGTTTATCGAAAAAATGTCAAGGCTAAAAAAGTTTTTAAATTGCATATTCTATCCAAAAACATGATAAAAAAAACTAAAATCATATTTTTAACTGCCACAAAAAATAAAGGAATGTCCCCCATTTAAAGTTTTCTCTAATTCTTACCGTTTCCGATTTCCCAATGGTGGCCTCCTTGAGTTGATCACCCTGTATATATGAATTTGAACGGATGGTGTTTTTGGCCTCTAGGGACCTCAAAACGAAAAATTTAATCGGTCCCGGGTCCAGGTGTTACCATAAGTACTACGGTAATAGCTTATTCCCTATATGGGAAATTCGCCAAAAACCTAATAGTTATATAGAACAATATTACATTCAACCAGCTGTTAGTAAAAAAAGTTATATGGGACTAAAACAAATCAATGAGAACAAAGATTCCTTTAAAAAATCATTTGAACATCCTACTATTTTACTATGCATATTTAATTAATCTGCCATCCTCATACCTAAGAATTGAATGTATCAATGGTCAGCATTACACATAGTATAAATAGGTCAACTCTAAATATGCCTTTAAATTTGTTTCCAAATGCTGAATTTGTATCACTAATGCTGAATGTTTACAGCTGTTATGTTAAGCAAATTATATTGTACTAAAAGCTAGCTTAAGAAGGTTAGCGTCGTCTGCTAGACTTTTTAAAAATTAAAACTTAATTTCTAAAAAAACTGGGACCCTTAATTATAATTATGGCTTTGACATTCCCTAGTTCTCAAAATTATCTTTCTTTCAACACAAAAATAATGAAAATCCGTCGACTGGTTGATTCAGAATGTGAAAAACCCCCATTTACGTTTTAATAATATATATGATAGTTTGGACAGGTTTCAACCCTTCCGAGGCGTAATACATTTACACAGTTGATGTGTATACTACATTATATCTCATAAAATACTGTAGTTCTAAAATTAAATGGGTCTCCTTTTACAAACGTATATAATAACCACAAATTTTCAGATCGTCCTTGCGTGTATTTCATGCCACAAATTTTGACGAAAGGTTTTTCATTACATAAACTATACCTATTTACAGTGTTGACCAAACAGTTGGCAAGAAGCATTAATAGATAAGCTATGTACCAAATATGATAATTTTAGCTCAATTCTAATTATGACAAAACACGAAGTAACTAAAAGCGAGTTTTGTTGGTGTAGTAAGCGTTGCAGGAGGTCTACTTTACACTGAATCGACGTTCACTTTTATTGCTTTTGATCTTCCGGCACTGTTGACTCAGCGAAACTGAACTTGTATTTTACCGTATTTCGTTATATTAAAACTGCTGTTGCATTAGGTCAAATTCCCGATAAGTCAATTGCTTTAACGTAGACCACGTTTTTAGCTCGGACTGTATTATTTGACTTACTGGGACTTTTGATCTACAGACACTGCAAACATTGTAGTTTTTGACCTAGCGGCACAGGTATAAATTATTTGATCTTCCGGGACTGTTGACTTCCAGCAACATTCCCGGTCTAATGTTAGCATTTATTACAATAAATAAAACAATAGGTAAATCAACTTTTGTTTGGTATCTTCAACAGTTTTTACTTTAACTATGATTTTTTTCTTGTTTGAATCAGTATCTGTTGTGGGAGAAATAAATTCATTCGCTTTGAGAATATAATATTTTTTCTTCATAATGTAGGCCTAACGCATATTTGAATTTGATTTCTTAGTGTCCCCTGATTATTGCTTATATTTTTAAAAACAGAGTAATTTTTACTCTACACGTAAAATAAGTGCCCAATGTAATAAGTCATTAGCTTTTATTTGTAATAGTATTACTTTAAGATATAAAGTCGATGCTTCAATAGTCCCGAAAATAGGTGTTTACCGGACGAGTATGGTCGTTCCCGTGGAGGAAAACAGAGAACCGGCCACCTATGACCCTAATCTGCATATACAAGTTTGATTAGGTTAGGTTAGATTAAATAAATATGGCCCCTTAATCTACGAACGGTGGCCGGGGCGGGGCCCCTACACTCCCCGTGCGAGACGAAGTCGAGTGCGGGATTACCATACGAGTCCGGTAAACACATTTTGGACGAGTGACGTACGATATTTTACGCCATACTACTCTAAGATAACTTAACAATAAAAAATCTGTACAAATCCTTATATATTTTCACCGACAAAAGAACTAACAATCAATAGTCATAACCTCTAGAAGAGGTTATGTGTTTGTTTATAACCACTCATTGTTAAATATAATCAGCTGGTTGGTGTCCGGTAAAAACTCATTACAGTATACGTGAAACCCCTTTTGATTAAATTGGCGGCAAACAGCTGTTTTCTGGACTAAATCCTTGCGTGGGAAGTTTGTTTAACCAGTGTATAGTGTGGCGTAAAAGGAATAAAAATATATCGATCATATCAAACAATCCAAATCTTGTCAATTAAGTGTATTTTTGTCAAATAATAATAGCTTAGTATGAAATAAATAAATATCCCAAGGACCCAAGTTTCAAGTTTGATCAAATAATATCCATTAACAAATAAGCTACAATGGTTTACTCCTTATAACTTACAACCTTTTTAATTTTATTTGTGACCAATAACCACACAAAAACACTCCCAGATAACAAATTATTTGTCTTTTCCTACACTATGACTGGAAGGATTCTATGTTTTGACGGTTGAATGTGAAAACCAATTTTCATCCTATAAAACCCTGTTCCCATAGTATGATCATGCTGTTTCGCGAATAATCGTAGGTTTACACGTTTATTTAAAATTGGATAGTTACTCGAGTTATCATGCTCACAAAGAAATATATACACATACGGTAAAATAATTAAATTTACATGTTTATGCATTTCAACGGGTCGTCTTTTTGGCCGTTAGGCATACAAACGAAAAATGAAATCTGTCCCAGGTCCATGGCGAACCATAAGACCTGTGGTAATAGATTATTCTCTATAGGGAAAATTGCTCAAAAACAAGAATTATAGTAGTTGTTTCTACATTAAAATATTCATTCTTCTGAAGCTATATACGATTTTCAACAATATTAATCACTCCACTTGAACAGTTTGGATTGTAAATTATTTAAAAATCAATCTATAGGGCATTTAAATTTCTTAACATTATCAATTACTTTATAAAAATCAACAAAATGTAGACTTATAATTTATCCACACTGTTTATGAAGAAGATGTCACTGGAAGTTATTTGTTCAAGTGTGTAGATTTGCTCAAGCTTGCTGCAAACTTCTGCTCTCCTGGTGGCGAAAAGTCATCACCGGAGACCTGTTTCAAGACCGCCATTTGACTCCTCATCGGCTCTCACTCACTCCCGCCTACTTATGTCTTCTTTCTAACTTGGCAAAAGAATCAGCCGTTTAAACTAGCAGCTCAGCTTTTACAATGTATTTCACCCACACCATTCTACAATATCAAACCCTTTTCATTCATATTTTGTATTTTTGGGACATCTTGGTCCATGTTGCAATTCGAAAAGATTTCAAAATTACAGTGAAAGAGGAAATTACAAACATCAAGTAAAACCATCTTGAAGAACATCCAAACAGTCTGGCTGTTCCTGCTGGACTTGAGTGTGTAAAAAACGATCAAATAGTTGTTTCATGTGTTGGACCCAAAATACAAATTTCTTTTAATTAATGCTTGATCTCAGCAAATTTTGTTGTTATGTATTTTACGTGTTCGAAGAGTTTAGCAGATTGTAAACTATGTAAATTGAAATTTGATAAAAATAATTCTGCATGTTTCAAGAAATTGTTAAATTATTACTCAAATCACACCAACTGCACCAGCTACAATGGACGATTCAAATATCTATTTTTACTCGTTTAAAGGATTTTTGTAAGTTTTATTAAAACTAAATTAATAACCATCCACAGAAACTTGTGCTGAATTTGATTATATGCACCTCTTTTCTTTAAGTTGAAATAAAAAAAATATTGGTATAGCCTCAAGAGTAGGTTTCTCAAAATTTCTTTTTACTCTGGATTCAGCTTCCCAAACAGAAAAATCACTAGGTAATAATATATATGACTGGATTTTCTGTGAGATGGATTTTTTTATGAAAATAACTATCACTTATCTTTTTATAAATAGTTGATAAGTTACAGATTTACTTCATGTAAAGCCCACAATTCTACTTACTGTTACTGATAGAGATGGTAAGGCTAAAGTAAAGGAAATAGGTGTTTTGTATAAAATATTTATTTCTATACATAATAAAAACATACATGGTCATATTTTGACACCCATATAAAATTTACAAATCGTATTACATCTAAGATAAATCTATTCACAGCCTTATTGACGTCATTTCATCTCCACAATGATACAAAAAATAAGTTTTGGTAACTTACAGATTAAATAGAGGATTTGTATTACATCAAGGTTTAAAAATGTCCCAATACAGAAGTTTATGTATATGGTTAAAATCGCCAATTGTATTGTATCAGATGCCAAAGATGGGTTCAGGACTATATAAGTGTACAACTTGGTAGTGTATTCTTAAACTAGAAGCCTGATTTCAAATATTAACCATTTCTGGCTAACATTGTTCATATTTATCCAACTAAGAGTTTTAAATTATTAAAAAACAGATTTTACACATAACCATTTTGAATAATCCCTAATACACTTTAACAAATTTCAGGTCCATGACTGCCATGACCCATACTAAAATGGAATCTTGTGTTCCTGTTTATTTGAATTGTATTTAGTGGCAAAATAATTAATTGACAGCGACTATGGTGTTAAAGCTGTTTTTTTTTGCAAATGTAAATCCCCAGGTATGGTATTTCATCTTGAGACTATTGGTAACCCTAACCTAAATGCATTTCTGTATTACATACTTACACACAAACATCAATATAAAACACGATTCATGTGGAGAACATAATGTCCATCCAAATCAAATAATTACATTTGGTTATGTATTAAGTTATTATTCAAAAAATATATTACACATTATACAAGTATGTACTGTAGTACGTATTACTAAGTGACTTAAACTTTATTACCAATCTAAAATTATGACCATTCAACACAATAAAGGCTTGTATTGTCTACAATTCAGTCATGATTTTTATGTATCAGAATGGGCAACGCTAAATTTTCAGGAAACGAAAGTATTTTTCTGTAAACAATGAATTATTTGGTTTAGTTACTTGTGATCTAAAAACTGTATTTTTCTGAATGTGCTTATGGATTTCAAGTGTATAAGGTACTTTTAATATACCATAAAATATATAGTCAACGGTGATATGTTCAGGTCTATTGACTCTACTGTTAAAAAACATTTACTATGTATACTCGATAGTACTGTAATAGAGATCATAGAACACATCAGCCAACTATTTAGCCCGGTATTAGCCTTTGCCGCAGAACTCTAGTTGGTGGCTGCAGTATTGGCACAATTTTAGACAGTTAGACACAAACTCCAACGTAAGTTGTTCTCTGAAACAATCTAAATCGCTCATCATCGTTCCTGTTAAATATTTCAAAAGAACATCCTTTTTTCGAATCATTAGGGAGTTCTCCCGCAGATTCAATTCAAAGTTACCGATAATGGTATTCCAAGAGCTGAATCAAGTTGTTCTCAAGATCTGTTCCTTTTAGAGAGTAGGTCTTTGAAGGACTCAGAAGGCGCTCGAAACCTCCCTGGGAATTTCATTCCTGAGGCACTAAAAGCAAGGTCGTTTTCCGGACGACTCTTTCAAGTTCACGTGGCTGTCGTCTCTCCCCCCAGGGTCCCAGGAAGTCACAAGGAGGCCGTGGCGGTGAAGTTCTGGCGCCTCTTGAGGACCCGGGTCTTGTGGAGGTCAGATTTGTGGCACACAACGACAGTTCCTCCCTGGGACATCTTCTGCTCCTTGCTGTTCCCTCCACCGATCAGAGTACCGAACATCTTGGACACAGAGAACTTCCTGGTCTTGTTGTTGCCTTGCTGACACCGTGACTCGTTCAGCAGCATCTCGAAGGCGGTGTACAAGTCTTCACTGTTCTCAGCCACGGAGACTTCGAAGAACGAACAGCCATTTTGCAGAGCTGCAGATCTCCCTTCATCCTTCATTACCTGCAGACAAATATGTTTTGTTAACGAACTGTTGTCAATTGAACAGTTATTACAACAAAATATTAAATTGACATATTTTTAGTTTATTCTCTACATCAAATGCCCTAATTATAATACACATATCATTACTTAAGTTAATTTAAAGATTTGAATTGCCACAAAAGAAAGTATTTGTAGGACAATGGAAAGTCTGGAATAGTCTTAAACAAATTATAAACTTAATCAGTATTTATTTTTCAATCCTTCACAAATCATTGTATATTTTTTGCAAACATCGTAAAATAAATTTAAGTTTTTGGCTGTAATTAAAGTTATAGTACTGTAATTAAGTATTTTAATAAACGATTCAAACTCACATTAGAAATTCATTTAGCCTATAGAAAGTACAATTTGTAAAAGGAAGAGTTATTCCAGCAACACTTCAATGGGCACTTCAGATGAACTAATTTTAACCGCATGCCTCCTTAATGTTTGACCCAGTTAAGTTACATTCTTAGGGAGTCTGTTTAATGTTCGTTTGAAGGGTTTGATAATTTAAACCAGTGAGATATCGGTTTCTGGGGTAGCGAGTTTGACCTAGTTGCCACAATTGGTTTAAGTTTCTTAGGGAATCAACGTGTATTTGGTGTTTTGTTTTAATGGTCAAACTACGCAAGATTGTCACGAAAAAATTTCTTAATCCAGATTTGAATTCTATAAAGTGATTATATAAAGTTCCCAAATCTGCACTTCCTATCCTATTGAATCTTTGAGCACCAACCACTCTACCTATTTGACACAAAAATTCTAAATTGCAGCGATGTCACATAATGTAGATTTCTTATTTCAAATTTGAATTCTCGATTACATAAAGTTCCCAAATCTGCTCTTTCTATCCTATTGAACCTTTGAGCACAAACCACTCTACCTATTCGACACATTCTAAATTGCACCGATGTCACATGTTGTGGATTTCTTATTCCGAGAAGACACTGACCTCTCTAAGATGTTCCAGGTCTGCCTTGTTAGCCATCAGCGTGACTGGAAGACTGTTTGGTCGCAGCTTCTGAAGGTTGTCCAGCGTGTCCATCGCGTAGTTGAAGGACTTCTTGTCTGTGATGGAGTATACAATCAGGCAGCCATCAGCCCATTGCACCTGCTCTGTGGGGAAGCTAGCGTCTCGCTGTGAACAAGGAAAATACTCGTCAGGATGGTGGTGAATCCGCAAGAAAATGTATGAGGTATCAGTTAAATTGTGGCGGGAAAAATATATTGACCTACGCTGGATTGTTCAAGCATATATGATTGTGATGATCTGATGGATGTCCAAGGAGGTGGCAGTTTGATTTTAATATATTTTGTAAGAAGATACATCTATGGGTAGTGTATTGGGTTGGATATTAATTAAAACCAATGCAGTATCATAGCAAACAGCTCATTGATTCATCGCTTGAGATAGAATATTGGCATTAGTTGGTAGACCATCTCAACAGATTGCACCACGTTTTTTGCTTCAAATTTTTGAATTACGTGGTAAGTCTATTCTGTGTATAGTAGCCTACCCATTAGATTGGTATGGATGAAAACAGAAATCCTAATAAAATTGTCTTAGTCACTGATAACATAATGAATATGTAAGGTTGCAAGAAAATTAAATTAAATCTCTAAACCAATTTTTAATTAAACTTATATTTATCATACCACTTAGATTAGCATATGAGTTTAGAATAAATTATGTTCAAGGAATATGAATGTCATAGTACTATATACATTAGTATTTCTTTTAGTAAACCCTGTTGTAGTTAATCTACAAAGAAACTTACCGAATCTCCAGAGACGTCTATGATCTCCACTTCCACAGGTGTGTTGTTGATGGTGACTGTCTGGCGGTACAACAAATCTGCAACAAAACAGTGACGTCAGCAAGTTTCCAACAAGTTGTCAAAAACTATATTCTATAAGAAAAACTGTTATGAACAAAACATGAGAGTATGAGTCCCATATTATGCAAACAGCATTAAAAAAATTTAAATTAAAAATTAAAAAATTAAAAATTGGCAGTTTTACTAGGCTAAATACAAATCGAACCAATCATTGAGAAACATAGAAGAAAAACAATTATTTTTTACAAATCTATTTATCTATCTATATACTTATTTAATACGCAAGCAGGATTTTTGTGACAATTACTCCTCCGAAACTACTGAACCGATTAACATGTTTTTGGTGTCATTGGAAAGAGCGTAACGTGAAGTTGTGCAGGAAACATTCTTTTTAGGGAAATAATTAGAGGGAGAGGCCCTGGGACCCTTTAGAGTTTCGTATTTCTCCATAAGATTAACAAGGGAAACAAACATTGTTTTTAAACTCAGCTGTTGTCAGAAATTTAATATTAATAGTTGGTCTCCATGGAAGCATGAGAAAATTCACAATGTTTACATTTGCTTTGACATTTAAATGTAAACAACCAGAACTGTCAAATGCCTATTTCACAATTTCAGACAGCTGATCCAAAAAAAATCAAACAACTATGTGGTAGGTTTACTTAATCTTAAGCTTTATGATAGATTATTTATTATAAATCTATTTCAATGCTTCTGAAACAGATTTTTGCCGTTGCGAAGCAAACATAAATAGTGAGAAGAACATATAATTGTAAACAGTCAATGTGTAAATTATCTATGTTGTATTAAAAATGTGTATAGTTTTGGATGTTGGTTTGTGTTTAATGTTATAAGTTATTAGTTATTGAATTTTTATTTTAAGGATTTGGCATATGAGTAAGCCTATGATAAATAACACCATTTCAGAGTTCTGCCAGATTTTGCCTAACTCTGTCCTGTAGAGTTTAAAGTAGCCTACACCTTATTGTCTACAAATTGGCTACATAACTTAGGTACGGTACTTTATAAAAGCTGGCAGCCTTTTTACGTTGACTTAAATTGTAAGCTTACCTTTTCCCGTCCATGGGCAGTTTGATTGTTAAAAATTAACCCTTTAAACTGGAATAGAACTGTTATGTAAATGGGTGAGTAATTCCATTAGTTAATAATCTTTTAGTTGACTTTTTTAAAATCATTGGAAATTATGACTGTTAGTTTTTAAACAAGTTATTTGTTTATAAATAACTCCTGTGCTTCTTTGCAATTGCTCGGTTTCGAGCAACATGTATACTAGTACTTATTTAATACGCAAGCAGATTTTTTGTGACAATTACTCCTCCGAAACTACTGAACCGATTGACATGTTTTTGGTCTCATTGGAAAGAGCGTAACGTGAAGTTGTGCAGGAAACTTTCTTTTTAGGGAAATAATGAGAGTGAGGCCCTGGAGCCCTTTAAAGCTTCGTATTTCTCCATAAGATTAACATTGGAAACAAAAATTGTTATGAAACTCCAGCTGTTGTCAGAAATCAAAAGTGAGAAGAATAGCATATGTTAATTGTAAACAGTCAATAAGTTTGTTAATTTAACAGTTTGCTACAAATATTTGCTGACTTGGTTGATATTCGTTTTAAAATAACGCCTGTTATACTTAGCAATCGCTCGAATTCGAGCAACAGGGACACTAGTACTTATTTAATACGCAAGCAGGTTTTTTGTGACAATTACTCCTCCGAAACTACTGAACCGATTGTCATGTTTTTGGTGTCATTGGAAAGAGCGTAACGTGTAGTTGTGCAGGAAACTTTCTTTTTAGGCAAATAATTAGAGAGTGAGGCCCTTTTAATTTTCGTATTTCTCCATAAGATTAACATGGAAAACAAAAATGGTTATGAAACTCCAGCTGTTGTCAGAAATTAAAAGTGAGAAGAAGAACATATGTTAATTGTAAACAGTCAACAAGATTGCTAATTTAACAGTTTGCTACAAACATTAACTGACTTGGTTTAAATGAAATCCCTTTTTCATTTGGGTTGGCGTAAATATTACAATAGAAAAAAGCGAGAGAGCCTGGATAAATTGATATACTAAAAAGAAAACTGAATTAACACTGTGCTGCATTTCGTATTAATCATTGAAAGAGCCGATTTGCAAACTATGGAAACATAGAAAAGTCATAGAACACCACCAAGGAAAAGAAATAGAAATTTGTTTGAATTTATAATCGTTATTATGGACAATCTAATGCGGCTATGAATAAGGCTATTTGTAGAAAACACTAAAAAACAAGATCAGCTTTGGAAAAATGATAAGATATTTACAAGAAATGTTGATTATATCGATCTGTTATGTACATCTTGAGTATTTCCATAATCTTTGAGTCGAATCTTTTAAAGTCATCAGGAATTATGGATGTTATTCGGTTTAAAATAACGTCTGTAACACTTAGCAATTGCTCGAATTCGAGCAACAGGGACACTAGTATTCTTTTATTCTGTTAACTCAAATGTGTGTATGTTATGTATTTTATGTATGTATTTTTAAGATCTATAAAATTTACTTATACAAATCCATTACCCAATTAATTTACGTTTTCCAACATTTGTGCAATTAAAAAAGATTATTATTAAAAAAAAATTTTTTGCAAAATTAATTACCATAACTAGCATTAATGTAAATTGACCCGGTGCTTCCTAATATTTTACACAAAACTACCTAAACACATGCTTAGACATTTAATTAAAACTGAAGTCCCCAAAAATAGAGTATTCGAATAATTAAATTATCTCGGAACTGCAAATACCTAAAAAAAACAATAAACCTTGATTGAACTAAAAGCACACATAGACAACCTCCAAACGAAATGTACAACTGAATATTCATAGACAATACACTACGCGTGGATAAAATTGCATATCCCTATCTGAAAATAGATGGCCTCAGCCGGGCATGTGTAGCTTAGACCCGTGGGACCCCCTGGGGCAGAGCAGCCCCCCGGGGGTAATTACCCCCCCTTACAACCCCAATCACACACGTGGACTAGCTCCGAATGTACAGGGAAAATTGTACAAGCGCGTGGGCATGTTTTCGTGTGTAAACGTATTTCAAAGGGTGTTTTTGTTTGTGTGACAGAAATATATTTTCTCACCGTACGTTAAAACTTAGGATGTGAAATGGGTGAAAAATTGTGAATTTTTATATTTTGGGTTATTTTTGTTCGCAATGTAAGTTAGTTGGGGTTGCTGATTCATGTTCTGTAGAGTCGTTCATTCTTGAAAAGCATATAATTTTTCATTTTGTTGATTTTGTGTTAATTTTTTTATACATCGACTGGGTTTTGAACCTTTGGTTTGGCATTAACTTACTTCTAGGTAAATTTATCTTCAGAATTTTAAACCACGCTCTATGATTAGGTGTGTTTTTTTCGCCAAAAAACCCTAAAAGAACGCTAAATCAAAAAGAAAAGTGACAGTGTTCATTTGTGAAAAAAATGTATATCGGGGGGAAGATTTTAAATTAATTTATTTCCATTTCTATACATTTTCCACATGGGTTTACTACTTATTGAATGTGAGAATAGTTTCAAGTACCTTATGCAATGACAAATTTATTTTTTTCGGGTCAGTTAAGTGAAGGCATTGACCAATCGACAAGGGACCAAGGGGACAACCTAGGCCAATAAATCACCCACCTGATCGATTGGCCATTCTGCACCGGCCTTCACCTAGATAGAGGGATATTTTTGTATCCCACGTGCAGTTGGTGCACCTGATACACTGCAATCAGCTGTGTATAGTACACGAAGATTTATTCTTGGATGTATGCGTGTGTACCGATTAATATAAAAACCACTAAGTAGAATATCAAATTGATTATGCAAAATACCTGTACTGGGAGTTTAAAGTTTTTGTTCTACGTAAAACTGTACAACAATACAGTGAGATTTTAAAGCTTTCATTTCGATCATAGAACTATGACGGTCACCGGAATGATGACCGTCATGGTATGGTACATGGGCGTGCGTACGTTAGATCGAATATGCCTGACGAGGAATGAATGAAAGATTGAAGGTTTAGTTCATTGTGAATAATTGAGTTTTAGTTTCAATTTTTATCTTTCAGTTTTATATGACGTCATGATATTCACATTTGCTTAATATATGTTAACCCGACACCAAACTCACCACGGATTCGATTCCCATTGCTAATGACGATATCAATATTCATTAAACTAACTGGTAACTGATCTCAATAACGATCCTGCGTGGGTATGAATGAACAGTCAACCTCATTAATTAATAAAATATGAATAATATTTACTATCTTGAATTAATTCGCTTCCGGAAAACACGATTTACTCTGCCTTCCATAACCTATTGTCATTCCTATTCAAATTCAAACCAATTTCACACGGTATTATTTATAAACTATTTATTTCCCTATGATTCGTCCACCACGTTTTCCCCACTTTGAATATACAGTTCCTGGAAGCGGATTGCCAACATTTTTGTCGCAAACTGAAAATAACGAAAGGCACGAGCGGCTGAAAATAACCGCCGCAGCGTTGGCAGCAGTGCGCATTCCGCTGTTTTCGAACGGGCAGCCCCGGGTGTCAATTAACAGATTTGCGCACAAGTAAAGGTCAGACACAACCGCCAAAAGTACAGCTCTACGTCTTACTTTTCGCTAATTGGCGGGAATGAATGAATGCATCCGTTCATAAGCAAACACGTGGCGCTGTTTTCTTTGAAGTGGGATTTCGAAATTATATAATATGATTTGAATTGTTTTGTTGTAAGCCTCTTATATGACAGCTTCCTTTATTAATATGCTTGAGTGAAGTAAGTAATATTTTAAAAAGGGCGAAACGTGTTTAAGAGTCAAAAGTCAATTTTTTCTCTAAACTCGTCACCATCGTACTGAAAACTGAATAAGTATGCCTATTTATTTTCCTCAAACAGTGGGAAGTAAATGCAGTACTAACCCTTTTAAAATATATTATACAATCTTACAGAACATTTTATTGTTGTTCCACAGATACGAAATACTATATTTTTCAAATCAAATTCAATCCTCAATAAAATAAAGAGTCTCCCATAATCATTGACTAAAACGACAAGGTTTATTTTAAAAGATGACAAAAAATTTGTGTTTCTGTAACAGAAGGCGTGTACCAGTGTACCACTACAACAGTATAATACTAAATGTATTTCAACACGCGTGGTGGTGGTGTTTGTTTTTTCATCTGCGAGGCTGGTATTCGTGCTGGATGTGTTTTGTGTTGTGGTAGGAGTGTTTACAGATCACCAGCTGGCTGTGACGTAATTAACTACTCATTCATTACTAAATAACTACCAACTACGCATTCCTTTGCGCTCTGCACCGTACATGGTCTGGTTGAAGTGATAGAAATGGGACTGAATGGAAATTCAAAGTCGACGGTCCAATGAAATAAAAGTAACAGCCTAGATCCTTAAATGCCATAAAGAGACACGAAAACTAAAAGTTTTGATGTGGACGAAAATGCTATTCATGTTGGAAACAATAGCATTGAATATTGAATCACATTCTATGAGGTTTACGCCCAAGCAAAGGTCAGTCAGGTCATAATATGCGCCACCAAAGTACAGCCTACTCAGTACGTTCCACTAATTGGAGGGAATGATTGTATGTATCGTAACAAGTGGGACGCAAACACATTATAGAAGTGGAATTTTTAAATTGTACATTATTGGTTTGTTAAATTTGTTACAGTATGTTTGTTTGGATTAACAACATATATGTGTTAAATACGAGAAGGTGTCAAATGCAGTTTTTTTTACCGAATTTCCCTATGGGTAAGTGGGTAAGTAGCTATAACCGTAGGTGACAAACCGATACCGATTTTGATTAAATTTGGTTTAAAGGTGTAAGGTAGGATAAACTTGAATGAGTTCGCGAACCAGCATGATCGGACTATGGGAACGGGGTTTTACGGGGGGTTTTATGGGGTAAAAATTGGTTTTTCTCATTTTTGACCCTAAAAACACAACATTTCCCACTTTATCTCCAGACCTTTTTAAAGAGCTTAAAAACAAATAATTTTATGTATATTAAAGTGTTTTTGTACTGTTATTGGTTACGGAGAAAATTAAAAATTGTTCATTTAAAATTCCCATTTAATTCTTATAGAGAATATTGTAAAATTTTGTAATTTACTTGTTAATGGGTGTATTTTGATCAAACTTGGTAAATTTATTTATTTTATACTAAGCTATTCATATTTTACTAAAAACCATACTTTGTTTCCTTGTAGTAGCAAACCTAGATACTTGTTAAACCTAATGTTATTTAAATAGATTTAATTGAAAATCAATTCAGACAAACGGAAATTGTTCGGCAGGTTTGCTGCGGGTGTATTTTAGATAAAATTTCGGTCTCAGAACAACCAAACTACGAATATACATTGCGATGCTATTTAGACCCCTGAACATCGTGAGAGCTTTCAAGTTACATAAACAACTATAAAACGCCTCAGAACTGATATTTTAGCCTTGACCTACTGCCAAGTATAACGGTAGCTATAAAGGTCGTATAAACAGTGAATAGTGACGGTAACAAACTGGTAACTTATGGTGGAAACTTACCAGTATTGGAGCGGTATTCGCCAATGTATCTTCTGGTGAGGTATCTGACTGTCACAGCTGAAACAAACACACTAAATTAGGGTCATTGTTGATTGTTGATAATAAAATATTTACATAATTATTTCCCTTGGACGCTTAACTCTTGCCCGGGATATTTTTTTCACATAACTTCAGAATATTCTTAGGTGTTGTGGCATTATCATTTCCGGATAAAATCCGTTGGCGATTGGCGGGATTTGAACCTGGGACTTCAGGAACTGAAGTCTTGCGCTTCCCCACTAGGCCAGCTCATTATTACGTACAATCTTGCTAATATCTACTGAACTTGAACTACTTTACTGAACAATAATTGAGCGAAGCTCTTATACGTCGACTCTTATGCATTTCGTAATACGCAAACTCCTCCTAGACGGCTGAATCAATCGTTTTCAAATTTTGCATGGTGATAGAGACCATATCGGTGAGTGCCAACATCTATATGGCGTTAAAAAAGTCTCTCAGGAATCCGCCCCACTGGGTCTCAAAGTTTCAATGTAATCCTTATGGAAGCAGAATTTGTCACATAAACAAAAACATATGATCAGCTGTTGACTTTTGAATGCAGTAGATAAAGAAATAGCTGATAGCATTAATCCACAGATATTAGAACAGAAACGGTATGGATCATAAATATAATCAAATGACGACACTAGCTTGAGGTCCGTGACGTAGGAAGTGGTGAAGGAAGTAGTAAAGGAGAGCAGTCTGGAGTGTGGAAACTGTTTATGACGATTAGATTTAGGTATCTGCATTCCTAAAACTTTATAGGAAGGGAGGAAAACTGGTCCGCGACGTAGGAAGTGCTAAAGGAAGTAGTCAAGGCGAGCTGTCCAGAGTGTGGGGACTGTTTATAACGATTAGATAAAGGTAATATTAAAGGCATTCCTAAAATTCTATGGGAAGGGAGGAAAAGGGGTCCGCGACGTAGGAATTGGTGAAGGAAATAGTCAAGGCGAGCTGTAGGGAGTGTGGAACTGTTTATGACGATTATATTAAGGTATCTGCAATCCTAAAATGCTATTGGAAGGGAAGGAAACAGGTCCGCGACGTAGGAAGTGGTGAAGGAAGTAGTAAAGGCGAGCTGTTCGGGATATAGAATCTGTTTATGACCCTTAGATAAAGGTACCTGCAATCCTAAAATGCTATGGGAAGGGTGGAAACAGGTCCGCGACGTAGGAAGTGATGAATGAAGTAATCAAGGCGAGCTGTCCGGAGCGTGGAAACTGTTTATGACGATTACATTAAGGTATTTGCAATCCTAAAATGCTATGGGAAGGGTGGAAAACAGGTCCGCGACGTAGGAAGTGATGAATGAAGTAGTCAAGGCAAGCTGTCCGGAGTGTGGAAACTGTTTATGACGATTAGATTAAGGTATCTACAAACCTAAAATGCTATGGGAAGGGAGGAAAACAGGTCCGTGACGAAGGAAGTGGTGAAGGAAGTAGTATAGGCGAGTTGTCCGGAGTGATGGATCTGTTTATGACCAATAGATTAAGGTATCTAAAAACCTAGAATGCTATGGGAAGGGAGGAAAACAGGTCCGCGACGTATGAAGTGGTGAAGGAAGTATTCAAGGCGAGCTGTCCGGAGTGTGAAAACTCTTTATGACAATTAGATTAAGGTATCTACAAACCTAAAATGCTATGGGAAGGGAGGTAAACAGGTCTGTGACGTAGGAAGTGACGAAGGAAGTAGTAAAGGCGAGTTTTTTGGAGTGTGGCAACTGTTTATGACGATTAGATTAAGGTATCTGCAATCCTAAAATGCTATGGAAAGGGAGGGAAACAGGTCCGTGACGTAGGAGGTGGTGAAGGAAGCAGTAAATGCGAGCTGTCCGGAGTGAGGGAACTATTTATGACGATTAGATTAAGGTATATGCAATCCTAAAATGCTATGGAAAGGGAGGGAATCAGGTCGGTGACGTAGGAAGTTGCGAAGGAAGTAGTAAAGGAAATGTTGCTCAGAGTGTGGGATATGTTTATAACCAATAGATTAAGGTATTTGCAATCCAATAATGCTAAGGGTAGGGAGGGAAACAGGTCCGAGACGTAGGAAGTGGTGAAGGAAGTAGTCAAGGCGAGCTTTTCGGAGTGTGGGAACTGTTTATGACGATTAGAATAAGGTATCTACAATCTTAAAATTCTATGGGAATAAAGAGAAACAGGCCCGCGACGTAAGAAGAGGTGAAGGAAGTAGTAAGGTGAGCAGTGTGGAGTGTGGGAACTGGGAACCCTTTGTAGCAGTTAGATTAATGTATCTGCAATGCTGAAACGCTATAAAGAAGGGATGGAAGCATGCCCACGACATAGAAAATGGCGAAAGAAGTAGTAAAGGCTAGCGGTGTGAAGTGTGGGCAATGTTTGTGGCAATTATATTAACGTATCTAAAACACAAAAATGCTATGGAAAGTGATGAAAACAGGTCCACGATGTAGGAAGTAGCTTAGGAAGTAGTAAAGTATGAGCATAATGTGAGAACCGTCTGTGGCAGTTAGATTAATGTATCTTCAATCCTAAAATGCTAAGAGAAGATAAGGAAACAGGCCCCACGACGTAGGAAGTGGTGAAGGAAGTTTTAAAGGCTGGCAGTGGAGAGTGGGGGAACCGTTTGGGCAGTTAGATAAATGTATCTAATACCATTATATAGTCAATATACCAATATATAGTCAATTCTAATACTTAAATGCTACGAGAAGGGAAGGAAACAGGTCTAGGAAATGGTGAAGGGAGTAGTAAGGCTTGCAGTTCAGAGTGTGGGAACTGCCTTTGGCAATTACATTAATGTATCTGCAATCCTAAAATGCTATGGGAAGAGAGGGAAACAGGTCCACGACGTAGGGGGTGATGAAGGAAGTAGTAAAGGTGAGCAGTGTTGAGTGTGGGAATGGATTAATGTATCTGCAATGCTAAAATGCTATGGGAAGAGACTGTAGACTGTAGGTTAAAATAATTACAAAGCACAAATCGATACATATTTCGAAACATGCAATCGTTTACAATAGAAATTTACAACTGAGTTGTCAACAACTGATTTTTACTCCATAGAGGCTAAAAACGATCTTTACTCCCTAAAGAGTAAAAATGCTACCTTAGACCCGCAACGCATGCATTAAAAACAACTGTTTTTACTGCAGTATGACAAAAACAATATAGTATGAACCCCTGATGACTCCGCTCAATTTTGTGGATGCCTCTGCAAACGCCACCTAGTTATGAACACATTTAGAAAGAGTTGAACCTGGATTAGAAACTTTAACCAACCGATATAGGTATTAGAAATCCTAGATTTATAGTATTTTTTAAATATTGCTAATATATTCTTTTATGATTGAGTGATTTAGGAAACAAACTAATCTTTAGGACTATAGCTAGGTTACTAGTTGAATCTTTAAAAATATCAACAATGTAAACAGCTGATTATTACATGATCAATTATTGACATCGTGCGTATGTTGCTGATGTAGGTTTGTATTTAATGAATATCAATCAGATTAAAGCTAAAGAGTATTTCCAATATTCACTGTGTCCTTTGGGTGGAAACTAAACCAGGTACTTGACGGTTTACTTTCTAAATCATTAAAAAAAAATATTTATTTATATAATAATCAATACACAATTAACAAACAATTAATTTTGAGACCCAAAAGTACCCTCATCAAAAATTTTAACAATCGCAAGAAGTATTGCATCAGTACCAACTAAGCATATGCGAATTCAATAAGAAGAAACCTGTCATTCAATCGTGCACAATTCCCGCGACCCTTTCGATTCACAAAAGTAGCAACAATCGCTGGAAAGGTCAACGACAAGTCAGCTGGTCAGCTGATCCGGTGTTCTGAGACTTCCTCAGCTGCTGAGCAACATCCGGTGTTTCTCGGAACCCGACACGTCCTAGGCGCCTCAGCGACGGCGTCAGCACGGAATGGGACCGAGACGAGAGCAATGAACATTGATGATCAAAGACCTCGAATATGGACGATAAGATTCGAGTGACATTCATATATAAAGCAAACACGTTTAAACTACAATGCGATAGGCCACGTCCGGCAGTGAAGTGGGTAACTGTTATAGAAAGCTGCCATGGTTGGTCACGTTGAAGTGAATTGAGCATGTAAAATGTTATTGACTTTACACTTGTTAGTTAGTAAGTGTTAACTTGTGATATCCAATTGAATATTGGGTCTGTTGACGATAGGGTGAAATAGAAATGGATCACACGTATTATTTATTTCTTAGTCGCTATTTTATGATTCGTAAGTGTAAGATTGCTAATACTGAAGCTTTAAAAATTGGTTAAATTCACTGTTTAGCTAAGAATACACTTCAATGAAACGGCGACCATACAAAGTAGGTATTTTAAGCCAAGCAAGAATGAAGATGAGTATATTATGTATCACACATTCTTTTATACACCATAAATCTCATAAACGTAACTTAACTAGATTCTATAAAAATATGTGAGGAGTAAAAATAGCACTGATTAAGAACAAAACAATAGACATCATTGTGTAGACGAAAATAAACTCTTTGTATCCATAACAAAGTTTTGCCGTTTTCTTTAGACGGTAATGACCTCTACAAACCTTTTGATAAATATCACTTCATTCATATTGTTTGTTCATTTGCAATGACAATATTGAAACTATATTTAAATTGTGAATAAACTTAAATTAAATTAACAAAAACACATAAAAGGTTAAGGTCGTTGGCCGGACTCTCCTGAACCTCTGCTTTGATTTGAAAGACAAGAAAAACTAATTTCAAAGTTGCTAATTTAATTGCTTATGACAAAACACTGAACAGTCTACTATTGAATTTGTTTACAAACAAAAATACGTTGTGTACGAAATCAATGTAATTGTAATCAGTCAAAAAATTAATTACTTTTCAAAATACTTGAACTAGCAACCAATTACAGTATTAAAAAAAACAATATTTTTGTATGTGTTGTCCGTATAGGCCTACAGGGATAACAGAAAATCTATTTATACATTTAACTTATTCAATGATAAAATTGGCGAACCGTGCGAAGACTTAACACTTTAAAAGGCTTTATACTAAAACGCGCCGAGAAAAAGTTCTTCAGCTCGAGTCAAAATAATTTAAAACTTCCCATTTAAAATGTTCTCGCAGTGTAGGATGGTGGAGAGATTTGTTCCATTTGTGGATAAAATGTATAAAAAGCCCAAGACAGAGTTGAGTGGAAGGGTCCATGCCTGTAATCCTCATTGAAGTGCTTCTATTTTTAACATTCCTCCCACATTGGGAATTCCAATCTTCTGTTAAACACTGAAACTTTTTATCACTTATCTCGATCTAACTCATTAACGAAGTATCTGAGATATTTTATATTTTTGTTGAGGAATTTTTAATTTCAGTGCTTTGAAGTTTGGAAGAACAACTTCAAATAGTATGTCCACACGAAGAAAATGAGAAGGGAAGATGAAGAAATTTATGGTATTTTATGTTACAAATTGTACCTATTGCATGTTTTGTTGTGATTATTAGTTTTTTAGAGGTTAACTATAAATGACCATGAAGTCCTATGTTTGCCTCAATAAAGAAGGATTTTCATTTCAGTTAACATTTTCTGATAAAAGATTGAAAAAGGGAGACAAAATGTTTTAAGTAAAACTACGGCCTAATACAATATCTTTGCATTCATATTATCTTTATCAGCTTTGCAAGTCCTAGCTAAAGATGTGTGACGCAGAAAGGTTGTAATAATCTTGCTGATTGTTTTGCGTTTGTACAAATATCCTAATCTATAAATAGTTTCAATTTAAACAATACAGGAGTTGACTTACCAGATTTTCCTACGTTGATCCTGCCTAGAACAGCGATGCGGACTTTGGGTAAATTTGCGGAGTTGCGGTCTTCCGTCTTCATACCTGTAACATTAAAAACTCTCGTTAACAACAAAGTACAGTATCGAGTATCTATTGGCAAAGAAAAACCAAACTTCACACAAACCATCCTTGAATAGTGCTCAATAATGCCTGAAAGTTTTATTACAATCTGTCGAGCGGTTTCGGAGTCCATAGGGTACATACATACATCCTTCCTCTTTTATACTACTTATAGATAGACATTTTCATAAAGATCTTTAATGCGACCGTGTCTTAGAAAATGCGATTTTAAACCCATCAGATCAATTGACCTAGATAATTTATTTAGTTAAGTCCTAAAGCAACTTAATCGAAGATGGAAACATGTGAATCCGTAAATGTAAACATTTTTCAGAATCTAGGTTTTTAGGCGACTTATGAATTTGAATTATGAGTTTCACGATTAAATCCCACTTTTAATTAATTAGTTTATCCCATTCAGTGCAGAAACCAATTCAATTCATCTATCCATACTTCTAAAATTGAGGTGGTGTCTGTCTGGTCTGGGCGGCTGTCGCGACTAAAATACTAAACCAATATAGCCAAAACTATCAACAAAGATGGTTCACATATCTAGGAACTTCATAGATCTATTAACTTCGATTCGCCCCGTGGATGTCCAAGGTTTTGAGGTGAGGTTTTCAAAAGAAAATATTGATTGGTCTCCATGCCAGAATGAGAAAACTTATCATGTTTATCTTTGCACATTCCAATGTAAACAAGAAGAACTGCCAAATGCCATCTTTTTGTCTATGCAAATGCTCATTTCAGAATTTTAGACAGCTGATCCAAATAAATTAGATTTTACACAACTATGTGGTAGCTTTATTTAATGTAAAACTTTATCATAGATTATTTATTCTAAATCTATGTCAATAATTATTAAACTGACTTTTCTTCCCGAAGCACGAGTACAGCAGCTTTAAGGAAAATCGTAAATAAAATAGAATGGTCCATTGCTCCATTTAACAAGACTGGTGAACAATAAACTGTTATTATACGTCAATAGCTTCAGGGCCGCGTAAAATATCGGGTTTCATCGAAGTACAGGGTAATATCTACCAAATTGAGGCAGTGTCTGTAGCACATTGTAAGGTTTCGGTAACGTGATACAAGATACGTTGACACTGTTTGTTCATTTATAACAACTCGTGTGGAAATTACGTCAAACAACATTACGTACTTGCCTTTTGTGTTTACTTAAATTGACAGTCATTAAGAAATTATAGTAGACCTAATAGTTTGAAAAGTTCCCTGAGATAGTAAGATGAGTTTAATATGTCTATCTTTTGTTTTGGTCAATCTTGAATTTTTTATTTTGAGTTTTGGGAAATATCCGTTTAGCCCCGTGAGCCAAAAAGTGTTTTAAGTGATGTCTGTATGTGTGTGTGTGGGTACAGAGCTACATACTACACCTGTGGTCCGATTTTGATGAAGTTTAGTATGTGGAGATCCACGGCATATCTTGATTTTAAAATTTGTTTTGAAATTTTTATTGTTAATGAAAATTTTTCCATAAAACCCATAAAAAACGAAAAACGTATTTTCACAAAACATTTTGAACAACATTTAGTATGATATAGTATTTTCAACTCCAAACAAAATCGTATAATCTTTAATGCTGTAAAAATAACAGTTCAAAAATCATTGCAATTTTTGTGATTTCCCCCCTTAGTTACTCCCACCTTAGTTACCCATAAGCGTTGTTGACTAGCTAATGGGAGAAAGTATGTGTCAGTATGCTGATACCGTTTATTTAGATGGTAAATAATTTAATCAACTCAGAACATTTTTCCGTGAGCTATGTTCTCCAGTAAAAACTTTATTGGAGAGATTGGTCTGTAATTTACAACTCACGTTTAAGTTTATATCCAACAATCTGTGACCAAATTTAACTATTTTCAAAATTTTTCAATACCTTAACCAACTTTTGGTATACCAAGTTATACCCTTTACCAAGTTTGGCATTTTACCCTACTTTCTTTCTTAATATTACACGACAGAAAAGAAGTGTGAATGAACAATATACAAACAAACAAGTAACTTGGTCCCCAATCACCAACACAATCTTACGTGAGCTCACAATTTAGGTTATTTACAGGAAAACACTTCGGAAACTCAACTAGTGTTGTGGGAGTTTCAGCTCGACGCCAGGGAACCTTGATAGAGGTTCCCGCGTTTTTGGCCGCCCCGCCAAAATTGTCAAGCGACACTAGCAATGACGTGCGTTGTAATTATACCGAGTAAACAAACACTGTCGTATATTGTCACTTTCCTGCTGTATTTACAACTTCACAGCTCAAAATAAACGTGAATGAGAACTAGAACATCTGTATGGGTGATATGTGTGTCAAGACGCGAACATGCTGGAATATTAGGAGATTCTGAAACTACCTTGGTGTAAGTTTGCATCTTGTAAATGGTAAAAGTGAAAAACACTGTAAATAATGACATAAAAAGGGATACTAGAATACAGTTCTTGTACTGGAAGTTTTGTCAAATTTTAAGATAATACAAAGCACACATCTTACGATAAAACCCACGATAAGAATTTGTAAATACAGTACAATGGTTGCTGACCAAATATGTTTTGATACAACTTTTTTAAAAATTTCGAGTGCTAACTGGCATGTAAAATGAAGCTGCAAAACATTGTGACAGAAGTTTCTTATATTAGCAGTTTTCTAAGTAGTCTCAATAAATCAGACAACTAATAACTAACTAAAGTTAAATTAATTAATTTTGCAAACATAAAATATTCTCAGAATTCATGATAGAACAAATTTTATATTTTAAGTGGCTGAAATATTGTTTCAATTGAACAAAGCTGTGTGATGAACAGTAAAGTCAAAATTGAACAACAGTTGCACGAGCGAATCTTAACCCACCCCAACCCCCTCAAGAAGTGTGCTTGTACAGTGGCACAGTCTGACGACTGTTGATAAAACTACTACAGACAGAAAAGTATTCTACTTACAAGAACAGGTAAATACTTCTATCAAATATATATAACTACGCTGCATACAAGATAAATGTACCAAAAACATCCTTTAGCCCCTAAAAAAACAAGCAAAACCATTGATTCGAGTGATTTAGAAACACCTACAAATATATTGGACTAAATTAAATAATCTACAATAGATTGAATATTATAGGTAGCAAACAAGGACAATTTATTAGTAAACAATTCCTATGACTTCAATAACAATGGGGCATGTAATAAACAATGACACTATTGAAGCATCAAAGTTATCATTAGCATATAGATTGAGTAGTTTGCTTGGAATCTCTAGTCAATATATCCATTGTTATTGCTGTTTAGGTGTTTATTTACATTCATGAGGTGTATTAATTATAAATATTTACTATCATCATTACCTGCGTGGTAATTATTTAAGACTTATTGATCTTATACCATTTCAATAAAAAGTATTAAAAGTAAAAAAAAATTGACGAGTTTTTGTGTCTGTGTTAAGTAATGGTGAGTAAGTTGAAAATTAACCAAAAACAAAGTAAACCAGTTTAAAATTTATTCTAAAATAATAAACAATGTTTGTAGTTACTTAAGTAAAATATTTTTTGCTAAATATATTTATGATAAAATTAAAATTAAAAATACAGAAAGTAAACATTGGTAAACATATTATGTGTCATGGATTTTATATTAAACAATATTATTCTATTCTGTTAATTTTGTATACACCTTACTATCGTGGAAACAACCCTAAATTTGACTACATGAATTTGACAAATCAAATTAATTTTTAACTAGTGTATAGATTTAATCTTAGTGAAGACAAAATTATCCTAATTATTGGTTTCAAATTGCTTGTGTGGTTAAATATACGTTACATAAAGGGTGCAACTTATTTTAATCCTATCTACCAAATAACTAGAATTGACATTATAATTTTCTATTAGGACTAAAATTATTTTAAAACACCAAGCCCTAAAATTTCAACGAACTTTAAATATATAGCTGATACATTATTTTTAGTACATAAGCCAGAGATTTAAGCTCTCACTGTCTATCTACTCGGACTATAAAAATATTATCTAACAATTCTTCAAACAAGTTTTGTTAAAGTTAAGTTTTATTAAAAAAAGGGTTTAATTCAGTAACGTGAACTTACTCTGAAAAAAGTATAATGTAAACTAACTAAGAATACAGTTTACGTAATTGTTTGTTTAAGCAATATTTTAACAATTATGCGTTTTTGGTTTTTTTTCACTCAAAGTTAATAAAAAAAAGTTGTAAATTTTTTCATCCGACTAACATACTAAAATTAAATTCACAATTTAAAAATATTTTTTTTAAGATTTCAAAATTAATCTACCTAAATTACCTTTTACAACAAAATGAAATTGCATTACTCACTGTAGCACTCAGCACTCGGCACGACGCACGACACGGCAGTATACGCACAACACGAACACTCACTCTCTACAGCTCGTGCCACACTGTTGTAGTAGTGGCGAGTAGTAGCGCGGGTATATCATTGTCGGCGCGGCGCGCGGCGCGATAGAGGGTGGCGTCGCTAGCGCCGCGGCGGCGGCGTCGACAACTAATGGAATGTAAACATTGGCTAAGTTTCAAAGTTTCGGTCTCAGTAGCTGCAGTTGTATAATGCGAGTCTGGTAAATAATGTGAAAATGTTCAAATTATAAAATGATACCACTGTTTGGTGTGTTATAAAAATCCCTGCATAGTTTGATATATTTTTAAAACAGTATAAATTGGTATACAGATTATGCTCATGAAAATCCATTATTTTTATGGTCTCTTAAAGGGGGATGGCCCATGAGGAGTAAGTGGAAAATGTAGATAGTAAGCATAGGTGGATGTGTACATAAAATTTAAAAATAAGTAGATATTTCTCCAAAGAGCATACACATTTTTTAAAGGTTGGTTGCCTATTTTAACCTTGCATTTTCCCGTCCAAATAGCCTACAGACCTGTGCGGTGAACGGTTGAACGTATCGTATGCAGCAAAGCAAGGGGTGAACTGTACTGATACTGAACTGTACTGGTAGTCGCAGTGACCAGTATCCGAACCCACAACATGGCTGCCTTGGGCCCGAAGTCCGTGGTGCTATTGGAGCCACCCACTCACAAAAACATCAATACTTTAAACCCTAAATACTCACCATTAATAAAATAGACTAGAAACAAAATTATTCTATTTAGTAACAATTTTTATGAAAGATCCTATAGTTTTTTCTAAACTTAAAAAAGATAAAATTACTAGAAATTTATCAGTCAATAATAAATCCTAGTGAAATGTCTATCCAAATATTTCAAACGATTTAAAAGAACTAATATTGTATAAACCTAGTAGTAAAAATTCTAACACACAATATATCAATTATTGACACATAAGAAATCAAATTTCATATATCAGTTAATATAAAGTTTCATGTACCGTATTATTACAAACTGTGCTGTAATCAGCCATGACTAATAGACTAGGGACGGATTTAGCTCTGGTATCATGTTCATGTAGCTGAGCATCCGATTGGTGATTACAATGTGTTGGGTTTGTTTACGATTATAATAGGCATTTTCTTGATTATTAAACATCTCATTAATACGGTGGTGAAACCATATTACTTTCATATCCCGTAAAATTGATCAGGTTTAAAACTAAACAATTAATAATCTTTTGTTCTTTGCACATAAGTACTCGTTCTCTAGGTTACTGAGTGGTTACAGTGCTCACTTAACAATCAAAAGGCTGCAGGATCGACCCTGAAAAGTAAGTAACTTTTTGATGATGTGAACCATGTTTGAAACCCTGATCGAAGGTTTGAGATGAGCCTGACTAATGAAACAGCTGATCTTAGTTAGTAACAAAGCTACACCCTGCTAAAGCTACATCTGACATTTTACACTTATCCTTCACTCATATTTGGGTTTATTTATTGATGACTGTGGTTCTCTCTCAATGAGCTCGTCAGAAATAAGTACTGTAGTTTAGAAAGGTTTAGACATTATTAGATTAGAGTGTCTACTGCTTTAATCTATGGTAGTAGCCAAATGTAGGCTATGGTGAAACTAATTCTATTCTATTTTGAAAAGCAAACCTAAACACTAGATTTGTTATTATTTTAAATTCTCAAAACATACAACGAACCATAAACACGATACAAAATTCAATACATTAATCACCCGAACAATATCCCTTTTTTAGTCATATTCATTCACCCCAACAGTACGAGTCGACATCTTATACAGTATGGTTTGTAAAACACTCGTAACATTTAAAATGCTATTTTCCTCGAACCTTCAAGATGTTTTCCCTCCAACACTTAGGATATAAGGAAAAGTATGGTGAGTATTTGATTAGGTAAAAGCAAACGCGGGTGAAAAATGGTAAAATCCGCACGTGGTCTTATAGAATCTTCTATATTTAAATTTGCGGAATATTTACTGAATTTTATTCAAACTTAAAAAAAATCTGTGTTTAGCGAAATAATCAATCTTTTGAGGTTGACTTACTTTAGCAGTATACACAGTTCTAAATTAAATCTAAACACCGTAACCACATATATGTAGGATATATGTAGTATATACGTAGGATACATGTAAAGTATATGTAGAATATGTGTAAAGTATACGTAGGATATATGTAGAGTATACGGAGGATGTATGTAGAGTATACGTAGGATGTATGACATATGTAGGGTATAAGTTGAATATTTGTGAAGTATATGTAGGATATATTTAGAGTATACGTAGGATATAAGTAGAGTATACGTAGGATATACGTAGAGTATATGTTGAATATTTGTAAAGTATATGTAGGATATATGTAGAGTATACGTAAGATATGTGTAGAGTATACGTAGGATGTACGTAAAGTATGCGTAGGATATACGCACAGTAAACATGTACTTGCAGAGTATACGTAGAACAAAATATTTACGTAATTACTTTTGTGTTTTATCGAGTTTGATGATTAACTTCTTAAATGACAGAGCCTGAGACGGAAAATGAATCCACGTGCCTCAACCATTCAATAGACTAATGAGAGGTCTTGTAGTTCTTTTTATGTTGTTCTTTAGAGACTTATCAATGATTAAACTGCACTTAAGTTGATTAGTTTGGTATGTTTAGTTTCATGCAAATTAAAGGTTTACACACAATTCAAGATGTATTACACTGTACCTCAATAATTGAATAATTATAAGCATATTATGCTGATTGAACATTGTTACACATGTTTCATTGTTTTCATTATGTAAGTGTTAAAGAGTCAAAATGTAGATAAAAAAATCATAATTCATTGGCTATTTGGTATTTATTTTTTGAAAAGTGGTCTTATTTTTTATTCTGCTGCATATTTGGCAACATACAACAACTTCAACACAATATAATGCAATAACATTTTTGAAATCGAAAATAAACTTTCATTACAGTAATAGGAGACAATGGAATTAAGCGTTCAGGGTGTATTGTATAAGGCTCACAAAAGTCAGATTTAGAAAAAATAGATTTATTTTACGAATAGGAAACTCAATCCATACGTCGGAAAAGATATCCACAAAAATCAGTGAAAGGTCCCGATGATGATGACAAGATTTGTATTTATCTCATTCACCATCAACCGTATTCCAGTTTCCTAGTTTCTTAAGGCCAGAGACAATATTAGGCAACAGCTTTGCCTGAATGTCTAGGGAAAATATAGTATCCTACTACCACTAGCAACAAAAATTAATGCAGATTATAGAATTTTACACACTAGCGCATTATGTAACTTTTTTGTAAAAAAATGGCAGTAAGTCCATATTGATGGAATGTCTACTCCAGCATCCAATAGTCAATGGTAGAGGCTCGACCAAAATTTATGTATGTTCAATAAATAGCTAAACAGTTTTTGTGCTTGACACCAACTAACTATTCTTTGGTCCTTGGACTAGAAGAAGTCATTAAACATTGCAACGCATTCTAATACAACCGTTTAGCAACGTTTCGACGGAAACGCAATTATTGTAAAGGTTCTAAATAGGATTTATTGCATTTTATAGTGAGAGTTGGTATTAATTGGAGAGAGCAGTTGGTAGTAAATTATACTTACGCTCCTTTGGATCAAGATTTACGTTTCCTCTTAAGCATCTGCATTACATAAGTAGGACGGCGAAGACATTACAGGACTGTAAAACAGTTTATTGCGAGGTTAAATCAAATTAATGCAGTTAAGAGGTGAATACACTTTACGTGAATCTGGTTACACTCTAAATTTTGAGTACTACTTCAACTTATCTGTTGTAAAAATAATCTAAATCCTAGACTATCGTAACAGTTAAAACTAGGCTAATTATTTTACATTGGTGAAGTGAGCTGGTCTAGTGGATAGAGCGCAGGACTTGGGTGCCCGAGGTCCCTGGTTCAAATCCCGCCAAATCACCAATGGATTTTATCTAAGTGATAATGTCGCAATCCCTAGGTCTAGCCTGAAGTAATGTGAAAAACAATCCCGGGCTCGTGCGACCTTGGACAACAAAAATCTTATTTTACATATTGAGGTCCAAAACAGGGGTAATTCACTGAAGGCAGTACCATGTTATGTGTATTCTAATTTGAACGACACTTTAAACTGATAAGAACTTAATAATGGCATCATAAATCTAATAATATATTTATTGACACGATAGTCTAAATAGCATCAAAATGCTCCTGGAAATTTGGAATGAAGTGGAATTTTAATGTAACACGTTTTTATACACACTCCAATTTTTTTACTTTTCTCTTACAGTAATTAACTACCGTAATGGATGAACCAATAAAGAAAACTATTAAAGGGTGAAGTTGTAGTCTTAAACTGCACATAAAGCCAACATTTAGGCCTCATTGTTTTGTTAAAAAAAAAACAATTAAGTGGCCTAATTTAAAATGAGGTACCGATGGTACCGGAACCGAGAACCGGAAATCGATTAAGGGTAGGAACCGGTACCGGTAACGACATTGAAAAAGTGGTACCGACCCATCACTAAATTTGACCTACATTTATATTTTATTTAAATACAAACATTCTATTGTTTCGACTTATTGAAATACTGTATGTATTAATTGGAAACCCAAACACGTCAAACAGGGCGTTTAGCACGCGTTGATATAAATTGAAGGTGTAAAATCCAAGTGTCAACCCTCTCCCACTCCACGCGTGACGTCAGCTAAAACCTTCATTGCTCTATATGGATGTGACATATTTATGGCGCCAATATACCTGTTGTATCGACAAGTGTAATCGTTCCACAAAGCTCGACTCACGTATGAAGATATCAATTCTGTAGGTGAGCGTCGGGGTTATTTCTTGTGTTGGGGTTTGATTGAAACGTTAGCGGTTACTGGTACGAAAATCAAATTCAAATTCGAAAGGATTTATTTTGAACTGCTATAAAGTTCAATCAAAACATTCATAGTAATGGGTTGGCAATGCGACAGTTTTTG